CATTGATGAAATTTCTTCTGGTGTAAATCTTTTAACTTCTCCTTTATATTCTACTTCAATTAGTGGTTTATCATGTCCATCATCAACTACTTCAAATGACCAATGTTTCATATCATTTTGAATAGTTGGATCGCTAAACCTTCTTCCTATCATTCGTTTTGCATCAAATACCGTATTTTTAACATTCATTCCAATTTGATTCTTTGCTGCATCCCCAATAAGTCTTTCTGTATCAGTAAATGCAACATATGATGGTGTCGTTCTATTTCCTTGGTCATTTGCTATAATTTCTACTCGATCATTTTGCCAAATACCAACACATGAATATGTTGTACCTAAATCTATTCCAATACCTAATCCTGTGTATTTACTCATTTAATGACTTCTTTACTTCAGACTTCCTTTATATATCATTCTCTCCATTTCTATCATGTTTACGTGGTTCATTGTTTGTGCCAATCTTTCATTCTTTCTACTACTCATTTACTCATTGCTTTATCATTTCCACGTGTTCTTTTGTTATTTATAACATTATTCTTTCTTTTCATTTAAATAACATTTATATTAATTCTCTAAAAATACAATACCAAATAAACATTACATAATGAACAGTAATAATTACTTAACGACATTTTAATCACACTTAACAAATGATATGAGAAATAAGAAAAATAACCAAGAGATAAGAAAATGAATGGAAAGACTCAAATAATACTAAAAGTATAACTAGTCAAATAAGGCAACGAAAAAAAGCAAATAATTGAAAAAGAAGAGAATGAATGATATAAAAGAATAAAAAGAAAGTAAGAAGTTTGATATGATGAAGAAAGAATAAAAGTAGAAAGGAGAGATTATAAAAAGAAAGAAGATAAAGTGTAATAAAACAAAAGAGATGATAAAAGAAGAAAAGAAAGAAAAAAATAAAGGATGCAAATTTTATTGAAACAAATAAAAAAAGCGCAAAATTTAATGATGCAAAATTTAATGATGCAAAATATTTAGCAACATTTTTATTGATGCAAAATATTTTGAAATAAAAATAAATTGTCATTTGATATTATTATATTTGATAATAAATTATATTATATATTAAATACATCATATTTCTTTATTATTTATTATTTCTTTTTATTATTTCATATATTACATTATTATTCATTTATTATTTATATTTAATTTATTAAATAAAATGAAAATGAAATTGTAAAATATCAATCAATTAAATATTCATGAATAATTTATTAATATTTAATAATTGAAATAACAAATAATAATGTAACAATAATGATATATTCAATATATTCTTTATTTGAT